ATGGCCATATGGGTGTGACCTGAGCATCACACCCATATGACCTTGTTGGGTATCCCATTTTATAATCATGGCTATTAATATGAAATTGGTCCTCTTTTGGGCCTTTAACAGCCCCCACTCATTTGGGAAGTCTTTCCATTAAATTGTGTATTGCGTCTGTGGGAATCTGTGGCCATTCATCCAAAAGGAGCATTTGTAAGGTCAGGTACTGATGTTGGATGAGAAAGTCTGACTTGCAATCAGGGTTTCCCAGAGACATTTAGTAGGGTTGAACACCAAGTTCCTCCACCCCAAACTGATCAAACTATGTCTTTATGGAGCTGGCTTTGTACATAGCTGTCTAGTCATGCTGAAACAGAAAATGGTTATCATAAGGTTGGCAGTGACAATTGTCTAAAACAGGAGTCTCCAAACTTTCTAAACAAAAGGCCTGTTTACTGTCCTTCAGACTTTGGGGGGGGGGGGGGCGGACTGTGGCCATTGGGGCTAAAAAAAGGTCCTGACATGAGTGGGAAAAAAACAATGCCCCATCTTTGGTGTCAGTAGGAGGAATTGTGCTCCATCTTTGGTGTCATTCGGCCCAATTGTTGTTGTCATTGTGAAGAATTGTGCCCCAATGTTGTATCACTGGGAGGGATGTATTGTTGGTGTCTTTGGGAGGAATTGTGCCCCAATGTTGGTATTACTGGGAGGGTGTGCCCCATTGTTGGTGTCAGGAGTAATTGTGTCCAGTTGTTGGTGTCTTTGGGAGGAATTTTGCCCCATTGTTGGTGTCATTGAGAGGAATTATGCCCCTACATAGGTGCAAGTGGGGAGGAATTAGGCCCCATTGTTGGTATCAGTGGAAGAAATATTGCCCCAAGGGCTGAATAAAAGAAGCAAAGGACCACATCTGGCTCCTGGGCCACAGTTGGTTGGGAGACCACTGATCTAAAATGTCTTTGTATGCCGTAGCATTAACAGTCCCTTTATTGGAAATACGTAAACTCAATAATCTGGAGGGATGTTCACATACCTTTAGCCCATATAGTGTACTTTGAGCATCTTGTGTATAAACGTAGATGTAAAACTGAACTAGCTGTCATTTAGTTTACCTTTCTATCATCTTTATTGTCCTCTTTGTGCTGTTGATCTCCTACAGCCTCTTTGCAAACACTTCCTATCTGCATGTACTCTGGTGATTGTTGCAAGCCATTTCTGGGGATGGGTTTTTTTGATGTTGACAACAGTGGACCACGTCTTCATACTGTATTTTTGTAAGCGGAACCAAAGTCGCCATACTTACCTGTCCACCTGTCCTGCACTGGCTGCTGGCATCTTCTTCTGAAAGCTAATCTTCTGGTCTCTTCTTTGGCCGGTGGGGGATGATGTCACTCCAGACAGTCAGAAACCGGCCCAGCACTTTAAGCTGAGCTGCGCATGCAAAGGAGGCCGCCATCCTGACAGTCAGAGACTGGCCCGCACTTTAAGCTGAGCTGTGCATGCGAAAGAGGCTGCCATCCCAACAGTCAGAGACTGGCCCAGCACTTTAAGCTGAGCTGCGCATGCGAAGGAGGCCACCGTCCCGACAATCAGAGACCAGCCCAGCATTTTAAGCTGAGCTACGCATGCGAAGGAGGCCGCCATCCCAACAGTCAGAGACCGGCCCAGCACTTTAGGCTGAGTTGCGCATGCGAAGGAGGCCGCCATCCCAACAGTCAGACAGCGGCCCAGCTTTTTAAGCTGAGCTGCACATGCACAGCTCAGTTTATAGTGCTGGAGGAGATGGTGAGCAGGCGGGTAGGGCTATTTTATTGCAGAAGAGACCTAGCATGTCTCTTCTGCAATAAGATCCTTCCAGCTCGCAGTTTTTTACAGTGGGACTTCAGTTCTGCTTTAACTGGAAGTGTGAGGGTGACAATGTAGGAACATAACTGAACATCAAATTGTTGTCGCCCTGTAACAAAAAGTGCCTCAACAGGGACCTTCATGGCAGGATTGCCAGATTTAGAAGGGTTGAAAATTGCTATTAAGATTTCAGTAAGGCTTACATTATATTTTAGTGACTGGATTTACATGTACAGTATTTTAATGATGGCTGTCAGCACAGATATGTGTGTCTTCCAAACACTTGGAGGCTCCTATGGTAGAGATGAAGGGTTGGTGATATAAAGACATGTGCTCTTTAAAGTATAACTAAAGGCAAAACCTTTTTTTTTTGTTTTGGATGGAGTAGAGAGGGAATAGAACCCTCATCAGTTTTATTGCTGTCTGTGTCCCCATTAGGGAGATTCCCCCTCTCTATTGTACTGTTCACCATTATCATTGAAAGTGAAAGAAGATCCCATATTTCGGGTTGTCCCCAGAAAAGTAATAGAGGGGAAATTTTCCAGTAGGGGCACTAGTTCTGGTGACCCAAGAGATTCCCTTAATTTGCAGGGATTTCCACTCACCTGCTTGACTATGGGACAGGAAGTAAAGGTAAATCTCCCGAATGGGGGATGGCAAAAATAAAGCTTGCAGGATTTATAACCCTCCCTTACTCTATCCAAAATGAAAAAAAGTTGTGCCTATAATTCTACATTAACCACTTCCTGTCCGGTTCATGTATATAAACGGCCGGACAGGAGCAGTGCAGGAGTGGGTGGCTGTTTATAAATGGCCTCCCCGCCCCCTGCTTGTGTGTGCTCCCTGGGAGCGCACAGCACTGCGATCCGGTGCCCGCTGTGTCCTCCGTTCGCTGTACAGGACCTCTGCTTGAGGTCCCGATCATGTGATCACTGATTAGCCAATTAGCACCATGTGACAAGCTGTGACCAATCACAGCTCACATAGTATTTCTCAATGGCTGCAAGAATGCAGCCAAAGAGAAGGAGAAATGATTGCTTTTACAGCCTTTATGGGTGTAAAAGCAATCAGTGTAAAAAAAAAAAAAAAAATAATCTTCATCACCCCCCACAAGTAAGTACAGTGTCACTGTACTGCTAGGGTGACAGTATGTAAAAAAAATAAAACTATATGAAAAAATGTAAAATAAAAATTTGAAAAATTATAATTTTTTGGTTATAAACTAATTTGGGTTGTTTTGTTTTTTACTAAAAAGATAACTGAATAAATTTTGGCCAAGATTTATGAAGAAAGATTATTTATTTGCAAAATGTTATAAGAAAAAAACACTTTTTTTTCAAAAGTTTTGGACTTTTTCATTTATATAGCAAAAAAAAAAAAAAAAATAAAAATCCCAGCGGTGAATAAATACCACCAAAATAAAGTTTTATCTGTCTCTAAAAAAAAATGCTAAAAAATTCATATGGGTACAGTGTTGCATGACGACCGCGCAATTGTCATTCAAAGTGTGATAGCGCTGAAAGCTGAAAATTGGCCTGGGCAGGAAGGGGGGGAAAGTGTCCGGACTGGAAGGGGGGTGAAAGTGTCCGGACTGGAAGGGGGGTGAAAGTGTCCGGACTGGAAGGGGGGTGAAAGTGTCCGGACTGGAAGGGGGGTGAAAGCGTCCGGACCGGAAGGGGGTGAAAGTGTCCGGACTGGAAGGGGGTGAAAGCGTCCGGACCGGAAGGGGGTGAAAGCGTCCGGACCGGAAGGGGGTGAAAGCGTCCGGACCGGAAGGGGGTGAAAGCGTCCGGACCGGAAGGGGGTGAAAGCGTCCGGACCGGAAGGGGGTGAAAGCGTCCGGACCGGAAGGGGGTGAAAGCGTCCGGACCGGAAGGGGGTGAAAGCGTCCGGACCGGAAGGGGGTGAAAGCGTCCGGACCGGAAGGGGGTGAAAGCGTCCGGACCGGAAGGGGGGTGAAGGGTCCGGACCGGAAGGGGGGGAAAGTGTCCGGACCGGAAGGGGGGGAAAGTGTCCGGACCGGAAGGGGGGGGAAAGCGTCCGGACCGGAAGGGGGGGGAAAGCGTCCGGACCGGAAGGGGGGGGAAAGCGTCCGGACCGGAAGGGGATGAAGCGTCCGGACCGGAAGGGGGGGTGAAGTGTCCGGACTGGAAGTGGTTAAGCATTCTGCAGTCCATCCTGCCAGCTCTCCATTCCCGGAGCTTTGCATGTTATGTGTAATATATCATCCATGTTTGATCTGACAGCAGAGATAAAGGTAGCCTGGGCATGTCTCCAGTGACAGCGGATTGTCTCTTTCCTGAGATCTGTGTAATGCTCGGCAGCTCGGTATCGTTCTGCAGCCGGCAGGTGGGCCGTGACACCTCTCAGATCCGTAAATGCTCTGCAGGCTGAAGCCTAATATTTACACAGCAGGGTGCAGCCCGTTCCATCCCTGGAATAATATCACTCATTTAACAGGAAGGTCTGGAACATTGGACTGTCTGTTCTTGACACTTGTTCATGCTGGCGGGAGCCGGGACCGTTAATCATTTTTATTTCTGTTCATAATCATTGCGGGAACATCACAGAGTGAATTTTGTGTGAACTAGAGGAAACATTGAAGAGAAGAATGAAAGCTATGCCGTAGGGACCAATCAGCTTATAAGAATTAAAGTGTCTGCATTTAAAAAAAAAAAAAAAGAAGAGATTTAGTTTTCTGGTAGACGCCGGAGAATTAATCCACCAAGTGTGTGAATGTGTCTCACAGATACTGGTAATGCAATCGATCTCAGGGGTTTAGTTCCCAAGTGGGATCGGCAGGAGGGGGTCCAAGTCTACCTGTTGGGTTATTAATATATATTACAGTAGATTCATGAGAATTCAATAGGAGAGGAAATTTAAAGGGAACATCTGAAGTAAAACAAAAAAGGTTGCCTGGATCAGAGTGCGAGTTCTTGTCCTTGTAACCACTGGAGGAGAAGTGAGGGAATCTCTCTAATGGGGGCACAACTGTACACGCTTGACAGATGGTCTAACCCCCCTGGTGCCCAGCCTGTGGCTTGTGTGTCACATGTTGTCCTTTGGTACGTGTTGTGTGGCTCAGGGACCCAAGCAGTCTATAGTTGGACGATCTCAGGGATTGGAGGTAAATTAACAGTATATTCTCTTTTTTTTTTTTTTTCTTTTTTCAGTGATGTTCCCTAAAGAGAAGCCCCCTATTACAGTTGTCGGTGATGTTGGTGGAAGGATAGCCATTATTGTGGTGAGTACAGAAGGTAAAGTACTGCATGGGGGGGTGGTGGGGAGAGGGGAAATGGCAATGCACTAAGTGGGGGGGTGCAGAATGTTCGCATTGCCCATAAATGCTGCCCATTTAGGAATGAAAATATTAGGTTTCAAATCAATATTATTAAAGATGATGCCCAGCTTTACCTTCAGTCTTGTACAGTTATACAGACTCCTGTACTGAAATTGTTTACTTTGATTTTGCTGCACACATTGAGTGTTTTACAGTGTGCAGAAAGCCAAATAGAGCCCACCTCATTTCCTGGCTGGAGGACATCCAGCATCATTTAGCCCTATCCTTTCCCAGCCTTACTGTCCCCAGGCTCACTCCTTTCATTTATTGGATTGCAGCTTTTTCAATCGTGGAGGCTCATCATGACATGTATGTGTTATCTAGGGTGGTCTGCATTATCAGACTGACATTCACCCATCAAGGCATATTGACATCAGCATAACTCCTCCCAAGAGCCAGCTTGCTGCTTGTATCAGTGCGGAAGGCACTTGAGAGGAGTACTGAGGTTAGGTGCTGTGATGTTTTCAGGAAGCTATGTACAGCATTCTGCCAGACCCATACACCAGCCATGACCTGCCTGCATTGCATAGAGACCCAAATAAGGTATGTTATGGAAATGGAAAGGTTTTGCTTTTTAAAAAAAATTGCCATATTAATGAGAGGGAAGGGGGAACCAGGGAAGGCAACACAAGCCAAAGAGGATCTTCACCCTGTAATCAAACATTTAAAAGTCATCAGATATAAATACTGTAGCTGCTCACTTTTAAGAAAACACACACTTTACCTGTCCCAGGATCCAGCGATGTCCTCACCCGACCCGGCTCTTTGCTGTTCTTTGGGTTCAGGCACCAGCATCTTAAATGTGGGCAGCCAACTCCTTGTGACCCCTTGCTTCACAGCCAGCTGCCCACTGCACATGCATGAGCCACACTGCGCCATGTGAATGGTTCTGCAGTCTTCTGGGACTTGTGACGTGTCCTAAGAGACTGCGGGGGAAGGAGGGGGCCGAACCGGAGGTGGGAGTGGGTCCCCCCCCCCCAAAAAAAGACATCCCAAATATAGGAGAGGATGGGGGAAGTGGGAGGAAAAGTGATACTTCCCCTTTTGGGTGTAAAGTTCCTCTTTTAAGCTTTTAACATACACGATGAATGCTTGTAGCAACTATTTTCAGGCACTGCTGTCCTTGATGTGTGTTTGTGTGTATATACTGTATATCATATATAAAAAGATATTATAAATAGATAAAAAGTCTCCATCTCCAGATAATCACTGACCATTCTAAATAAGTAGAGCACTGAGCTCTGCAGAGGAAGGAGATGTCTCAACTCTCAACTCAAGTACAGACCTCACATTGGTGACTTTCCCCACAAAACATCCTGTCTCTTGACTGGGTTCTTCTCTGTGACACGTGTTTCTTGTGGTTCCCACAGGATGACATCATAGATGATGTAGACAGTTTTCTTGCTGCTGCCGATACACTTAAAGAACGAGGGGCCTACAAAATCTTTGTCATGGCCACACATGGTCTCCTGTCCTCCGATGCTCCACGGTTAATAGAAGAATCTGCTATAGATGAGGTGAGGACATTATTTCCTGTCTTTTTCTGTTTTCCTCCTCCTCCTCTGTCTCTCACAGTGCTCTTTTTTTCTTTTTCAAAATATTTCTAAACTTTTTCCAACATCACATCTTTAAAAAAAAAAAAAAAAAAAATCAAATGTGCAACATCATTATATATATAAGACCTTTATACTATATTTATTTATTTATTTATTTATTACAGGTACTTATATAGCGCTGTCAATTTACGTAGCGCTTTACACATATATATTGAACATTCACATCTATATATAGTAAAGTGCTGAGCAAACTGTTGGCCCTATATAAATCCTGTATAATTTATATATATATATATATATATATATATATATATATATATATATATATATATATATATATTATACACCGTGCTCAACATAAATGAGTACACCCCAAAAGAGTTGTCAGAAAACCTTTACTTTACTTTCAGAGTCAAAATTTCTATGGGACACTATTTTCTATGGGATACTACAAAATACTCCCACAAATGCGGGCCATTGATGGCAAACAAGATTTGTTAATTTGCATTCACAAAAAAGTATTTTTCCTAAAATTAATTCAATGTTACAAAAATGAATACACCCCAATGAACGTCTTAGGAACAAAGTAAAATTTTAGACAACAAAATCCTAATTAACAAGAATTCAACTCCAGGTGAGTCTAATTATTCATTATACCAGGTGTCCAGCAGAGACAGTTTATTATAAAAGGGCGTTAATTAAAGAAAACCCTCCCATTTCATGATGTCAGCAATGGCACCACATGGAAGAGAAATGTCACAAGGCCTGAGAAATTATATAATTTCTTTACACAAGAAAGGTGAAGGCTACAAGAAGATCAGCAAAGCTTTACTTATCAGTCAGAATACTGTAGCAAAAGTGATACAAAAGAGGGAACTGTAACCACCTCACAGAAACATCCAGGCCATTCACAGAAGTTACCACCTCAGCAGGAGTGTCTTCTGATGAGAAGGGTTGAAGAAAATCGCCATGCAAGTTAACTGCAGTTAGCTAAAGAAGTAGAAAGCCAAACTGGGGTGATTGTTTCCCGTGACACAATACGGCGTACACTGCAGAGGAATGGCATGTGTGGGTGTCGTCCACGAAGGAAGCCCTGCACAAAAAAGCCTACCTAGAATTTGCCAGGGCCCATGCTGAAAAAAAAAGAAGACTACTAGGACTCTGTACTCGGGAGTGATGAAAGCAAGATAAATATTTTTGGAACTGATGGCTTCAAAACTGTATGATGTCGCAAGGGTGAGGAGTACAAAGAAAAATGCATGGTGCCTACAGTGAAATGTGGTGGCAGTGTCCTTCTGTGGGGCTGCATGAGTGCTGCTGGTGTCGGGGAGCTGCATTTTTGATGGTATCATAAATTCACAGATGCACTACTCTATATTGAAAGAGAAGATGCTGCCATCACTCCGTGCTCTTGGTTGTCGTGCACTTTTCCAACATGACAATGATCCAAAACACACATCTAAGTCCACTGTTGCATTTCTGAAGAACAGGGTGAAAGTGATTCAGTGGCCAAGTATGTCTGCTGATCTGAACCCAATCCAACACCTATGGGGAATTCTGAAGAGACCAGTTGAGCATCGTTCTCCATCCAGCTTCCAGGCTCTAAAAGACGTTGTTTTTGAAGAATGGAAAAAGATCGATGTTGCAATATGTCGCCATCTTGTTCATTCCATGCCTTGTTCATTCCATTCCAAGATTTGGTGCTGTCCTTACAAATCATGGAGGTCATACAAAATACTAGATGTAGTAGTTTTTGTTGTGGGGTGGATTCATTTTTGCATCAACTAATTTGAGTAAAACTGAAGATTTTGTAATCGAATATATTATTAACCTTACTTTCATGTAATTAGCCGAACAAATGTTCTATAAAACTCAATTTTGTCAAAATTTTGGAAATTGTTCCTGTGTTCATTGAGATATTGAGTAAAATCTTACTTTTCAAACGGGGTGTACTTATTTATGCTTAGCTGTGTGTGTGTGTGTGTGTGTGTGTGTGTGTGTGTATATATATACAGTTGTGTTCAAAATAATAGCAGTCAGACATCACTAACCTGATCAATCACTGTTTTTGGTAGAAATGATATTTCTACGTGGCAAATAATTTACTAGCAGGTGTAGTAGAGTAATAGAAATCCAACAGACCCAACAGTCATGACATGCATGCTGCTGATTCTGTGTAATTGAATCACTCATTGAAAGGGGCATGTTCAAAATAATAGCAGTGTGGAGTTCTATTAGTGAGGTCATTCATTCTTTGAAGAACAGGTGGCAATTATTGCCCTTATTTAAGGAAGGAAGGCAGCAAATGTTAGACATGCTGGTTACAGTGCATTTCTCTCTGAAATTCTGAGGAAAATGGGTCGTTCCAGACATTGTTCAGAAGAACAGCGTACCTTGATTAAAAAGTTGATTGGAGAGGGGAAAACATTTAAAGAAGTGCAGAAAATGATAGGCTGCTCAGCTAAAATGATTGCAAATGCTTTAAAATGGCAACCAAAACCTGAAAGACGTGGAAGAAAGCGAAAAACTACCATTGGAATGGATAGAAGAATAGCCAAAATGGCGCGGACTCAGCCAACAATCAGCTCCAGGAAGATGAAAGAAGGTGTAAAGTTACCTGTGAGGACTGTTACAATTAGAAGACTCCTATGTGAAGCCAAGCTATCTGCAAGAAGCCCCCGCAAAGTCCCACTGTTGGAAAAAAGACGTGTGCTGAAGAGGTTACAATTTGCCAAAGAGCACATTGACTGGCCTAAAGAGAAATGGTGCAACATTTTGTGGACTGATGAAAGTAAGATTGTTCTTTTTGGGTCTAGTGGGCGGAGACAGTTTGTCAGACGACCCCCAAACACTGAATTCAAGCCACAGTACACTATGAAGACAGTGAAGCATGGTGGTGCAAGCATCATGATATGGGGATGTTTCTCATACTACGGTGTTGGGCCTATTTATCGCATACCAGGGATCATGGATCAGTTTGAATACATCAGAATACTTGAAGAGGTTATGCTGAAGAGGAAATGCCCTTGAAATGGGTGTTCCAATAAGACAACGACCCCAAACACACCAGTAAACGTGCAACATCTTGGTTCCAGACCAACAAGATGGACGTTATGGAGTGGCCAGCCCAATCCCCGGATCTTCATCCAATAGAAAACTTGTGGGGTGACATCAAAAATGCAGTTTCTGAGGCAAAACCAAGAAATAGAGAAGAACTGTGGAATGTGGTCCAATCATCCTGGGCTGGAATACCTGATCACAGGGGCCAGAAGTTGGGTGACTCCATGCAACAAAGATGTACAGCAGTTCTCAGAAACAGTGCGACTACAACTAAATATTCATGAAGTCATTCAAAGGAAAGCAAAATCTTCAAACATTTTTCAGTTTATATAGTGAATGTTTGAGTTTGTAAAGAAGAATACAAACACTGCGATTTTTTTGAATATTCTAATATTCACTTTTCTTCTTTTTTTTTTTTTGGAACAACACAAATTTGATATATTTTTCTTCATGTTATGATTTGGAATAGAATGTGTCGTGTTCCCAATGCATTTGTGTGGATGGAAATAAAAGCTATTAGAAGGATTTTGAGCTTTATTCACTTTTTTCAACACACTGCTATTATTTTGAACACAACTGTATATGTGTGTATGTATGTGTGTATGTGTGTGTGTATATATATATATATATATTATATATATATATATATATATATGTGTATGTATGTATGTGTGTATATATATATATATACATACATACACACACACATCTACTTGGAGGCAGCTACATACTCAGGCTCTGCTTCCTGCTTTGCAATGTTACACAATGGTTGTTCTTTACTGCTCCTTCCCTCAACGCAAGTCTTTTGCAGGCCATAAACAGGTCGTTTATCGGCCGATTTTTCATCCGTACGAAAAATCGGCCGATAATCACGCCGGTAGTGGGGCCAGTGTTTTTCACGGATCTCCTCATTTATTTTTATCGGTCATGCTGCCCGTCTATGGCCTGCCTATGAGACTTGCTGAAAACAATGCATTCCCTGAGATATCTAACTGTTTAAAGTGTAAGTTCTCTTTTTCACAAAAAATTAATCGGTTGATATTTTGTCTTTACACAGAGAGATTTTTTTTTCCCTTTAATATATAGTTTTCACAAGCACTGAGTCACTTGTCACTACCAAGGCTAATGAATGTTCTCTGACATACAAGGAGCCTCTAGTTGGGACTCCTACCTGTCTGTATATGAAGTATAGGAATGAAACAATGGCAGCAGGTGTGTAAAATGTGAAAACCATTTCGGATACAACTTTTAGGTACACTGAAACAATACAAAGTCAATGCTCTCTAAAAAGTACTGAACTGAGAGTTCAGTTTCCATAACTCAGGGCAGCCAATTAAAATTCATGTTTCGGTCATTGGTAAGCTGTAGGGGTTGAATGCAAAGAATAAAAGGTATACCGCGCAGGCAAACAATCCAGATCAATCCACAACAGGTGCAGGCTCTGGCTCACCACCACACACGATGCAATAGGAAGAAGGGTCAGCCGCACACCGGAGGATAGATGAATATAGTGTGTATTTATTGATCCATAGGACACACAATACACCAGAACATGAATACCTGTTAACGCGTTTCACACAATCTCATACTTAATCAAGCAATAGATCGTGTGAAACGCGTTAACAGGTCCTGTATTCATGTCCTGGTGTTTTGTGTGTCCTATGGATCAATAAATACACACTATATTCATCTATCCTCTGGTGTGCGGCTGACCCTTCTTCCTAAACTGGTTCTTCAGCTGAGCTTTTCATCACGTGTCACTTCCTCTCTGCCCCCAGGTTGTCGTCACCAACACGATCCCCCACGAAGTTCAGAAACTGCAGTGTCCCAAGATCAAGACGGTGGACATCAGCATGATCCTGGCCGAAGCCATCCGGCGGATTCACAACGGGGAGTCCATGTCGTACCTTTTCAGAAATATAGGAGTGGATGATTAACCTCTCCCCTCCACTTTGTCTATATAAATATAGATATATTTTTTAGGAATATACCAAGGGCCAAAACTGGAAGTGTACAGTGTACCTGTGCCGTTACAAGAGCTTACCTTAATATTTCAACCAAGCCGTGTTTTTCAGGCTGACCTGTCTACCTGTAGATTCACCAGTCAATCGAGATATTTTTCTCTCTTGTTTTTTGGCTTGTCTTAATTTTTGCTACCTTTTTTTGTGAACAAAATGTCACACGCAAAGTATGTTTGTTCCATGCACCAGAGGTGTCAGAAGCAGCGTTACTAGTTGGGAGAACTTGTTCAGATGAGTAGCACGGAGTAGACCTGTGCTAGGATGGATTTGTGATACGGCCTTGTGCAGCATACCCTGCCAGTAAATAAATGGAAACCCCTATGGCCATCCAGTTTAAAAAAAAAAAAAAAAAATCTCTGCTTGAATTCATCAGCGTGTCTACAGTGAATCCTCGTCGAGTAGGACCAGATGGGTGGATGGTTGGGTAGATCTGTGCTATTAAACAATGCAACTCATCCCAATGCAAGCTCCATCTGGTCGACCAAAAGGAGGAACTGCTCACAAAGTGAAAGTCTGCCAAATTTTTTATAATTTCTATACAGAGTGGTCAGGGGTTAGAGCATCTGTAGGCTTTATTGCTTTCTGTGTCCTTGTCAGGGAGATATCTCATAACCTACTGTTCTGGTGTCACCTGGGAAAGAATGTAAAATGAACACAGACAAGAACGACTCGTTTACACTAGCGGTTTGGGGTTGGTAGTGGGGCAGTAAAACCTCATGGATAAGCCATGTCTTTACCGCCACTCAAGCACTCCCCCTTTAGTTAGGAAGGCAGGGGCCAGTAGGTACACACATGACGCGGCTGCAGCTGGAATTATATCCCCCATTGCTACTGCCCATCGGACATGACCCATTCCAGTGTATGTAGCCGTCTTGCAACTGCAGGTAGTCCAGCATTTAGGAGGTTAAAACAGGAGGTAAGGTGGTGATAAAACACCTCATCGCCTGTCAAATGCTCTCTGAAGAGTGATCTGAACACAGATCGCTCTTCAGAGGTAAAAGCAAGTGTAAACGAGGCTGAAGGGAGTTAAAATCTCCCCAGCGGGGACACAAACAGCAATGTGTAATGCTGAATTCAGCTTATCACTAGGTCACCTGATTCAGACAGGGCACAGTGGCTATTGTGAGTCTGCTCTCAACAAAAAAAGGAGGTACCACCTGAGGAGGGGATTTTATAAATCCATGTATGCAAAGTCTAATGAGAGCACCAAACCAAATGGTATTTGAGCCTAAATCCTTTTACTATTAGTTCATACAAATGAAAGCAAAACAGCCTACTCCTATCAGGGGCTCAAGGATTTCCCCAGTCAATGCGATTCAGGAGCTCAAGGATCTTCTTCCTTCAGCGATTGGGTATTGTAAGTAGTTAGGACTCAGAAATGGCACAGTGACCAGGATTAATTGTTTGTAGGGTGAGTGTTAAAGTGATACACTGATTATGGGCTTACTTTAACATTCATCCTACAAACGATCCTGGTGACTGTACTCCCCCTAACCTCTTATAGTATTTGGGCCCTGAAGAAGGGTGAGCTCCTTGAGCCCCCTGAAACGAGTTGACAAGTTTTCTTGTTATGATCCAATACTAATTTTAAATGATTTTGGACTCCATACCCATTATTCCATGTATGTTTTGGGGTATAACTATAACTTGATGTAGAATTCTATGGTAAGGCTAGGTCATAGGGGGTTTCAGCTGGTTTATGGTAAGGCAACCTTTGTGTAGATCAGGGCTGCAGTTTTGTGTAGAACAGTTATCCTTTAAATTGGTGCCATTCTGAGTTAACTGGAAACTGATCCTCAACCCCAGTTATGGAGATTGAATGGGCAAAGTGAAGGTGTCTCTTTTAAGTCCACAGACTGATTTAGTTATGCTCGCCTCTACCACTGCTACATCACTTTACGAAGTCAACCCCTGTATAAATTCTGTGTCAGAACTTACTCAGGAATCCCAGAGACATCCTCCTCACATGACTCGGTTCTAACCTGTCAATTGGCTGTGCGGGTCAAGCATCATTGGATGAGGTCACATGATTCTGTATACCTGGAAGTACCAGGTATTTTGAGGCAACCCTGACTTGGCAGCAAAGTGAAGGTGTGGTACTGGAGTTTAAACAGACTGTCACTTTGCCCTGAATGGACAACATGACAGGTCCTCTTTTATACCAGCAACTGGGAATCCAAATGAAGGAGACACTCATTGTTCTTGCAGACTTTTCGCTTTCTTCTCCTTGGTAAAGTACAAAATACAGAAAGCATGGTAGAAAAAAGTTCGGGTGAAGTATTAGGGTTTTATTATACGTTTTCTGAGATGAAGTATCACATTTTCTATTTTTTCCCTCCTCCTTCATTAGGTGGGTAGTGTTATTTCAGTGGTTCTCAACCTTCCTAATGCCGTGACCCTTTAATACAGTTCCTCCTGTTGTGGTGACCCCCAACCATAAAATTATTTACCCAGTAATTATAATTCATGAGTGTCGTTTTACCTCCAATACTGCTGCTTTCAACACAGTAGCTGTTCTCAGCACAGTAGCTGCTTTCAACACAGCAGCTGCTTTCTACACAGTAGCTGCTCTTTAAACGTCGGAAATATGTGTTTTCTGATGGTCTTAGGGGACCCCTGTGAAAGGGTCCTTCGACCCCCAGGTTGAGAACCACTGTGTTATTGGATATGAGCTTGTTGGGTTGCAATGGAATGCAAATTTGGGGCCCTTTTCTCTGAGGCTCATTGTTCAAGCCAACCAAAATGGCGGGTAGAAGATCCATTGTGGTCCTGAAAACCAGCTGTCTATGGTTCTGCTCTGTGCTTCGCCTCTGACTTGTATCTCCCCCTTTATTTTATTTGTATTTCTTTGGCCAGCAACGCCTCAGGAGAGGCAGGTCAAGAGACGTCCATGTGCCTCGGCCCTAATTTATCTCGTTCCCGTGAATCTTTTTTTTTTTTGTTTGTTTTGTACAAGAGATATGATTGCGCTTAATTGTCTAAAGAATATTTTTGTTTAATCAATGGAGCAACCAAAGTGACTTCTTTTGTGTTCATTTTTGTAATCGTGTTTTTTAATCGTTGCTCTTTTTGAGCGATTAGTGACTTAGCTAAGCGCATTGGCACGTTTGTAGCAATCAGTGCAAGTTTTAGCGGCCTTTACTTATTAAAGTGCCTGAAGGAAGAAACTGCACTTTGTTACCCATGGCGGTCAACAACTCTTCTTTCGGGCACTTTTCTAAATAAGAGCAGTAGGTTTATTTACAGAGGCAACTTGCTGCAGCCCGTGGTAATCAATCTCAACTCATCCATCAGTGTCCTTGTTTCAGTAATCTCACATTCGATTGGTGGCTGTTGCACTTAGTTTTGCTGTGCCGAGGGGGGCTCTTACATCCTTGTCAATGGCCGCTGTACGATTGAACGTTGACGACTGATTATTATAAAAAAAAAATAAAGCAGCAGTTGCTCAGCTTTGAGCATTCAGCTACATGGTCAAGGAAAGCGTTTTGTACGCTAAACCAATCTTCAGCTGCGTTTTTGTCATGAATATGTCTCCCGCACACAATGGCTGCCTCCACTGAGAGTAAGGAGGTGTACTTTTGAAGTAATGCCATGATTACTGCACCTTGTCAGATGTCAGGCTTTGCTTATTTACAGTCACAATGTGCTTTTACTCTTGGGTGTATCTAGTAATACAGCTCTTATCCTTACCCGTATCACTGCAGGCGCCAGGGAGGGCAATCGGGGCCGCTACTAGGCCGTTTCAGCAGCTACGGGGTTCATTGCTTCGTTGGGGGGGCCTGTGAAGCATTGCTGAGCGATGTAGTAGGTGTGGATCCACTTACTGCAGGCTTCTTCAGCAGCACAAGGATATCGGACAAGAGTTAAACTCTGAACAGTTTTTGTGTCTTATTTTTTTTTCTACTCCTGTCCCAAAGTTATCTCCGCCCCCTGTGTCGATGAGAAGAGTCGCAGTAGTTTACATGCGCAATGTGTCTGGGGGGGCTACATAGTAATGCTTTTTTTGTAGGAAAGCCTACTGAGAAATATGCACTTGTATTTATTTTCTGCAAATGAAGAGGGAACATGTAATAAAAATATTTGTTTGTGTGACACGCATTGTTGTGTTTTTTTTTTTTTCCCTTTAATTAGTGGGGGGGGGGGGTTCCCTTTAATTATTGTAATAGTATGCACACATCCAAGAATCTGCTATCAGTACGGTATTTGCCTCCATATAAGGCCCTACATATATGGCCAAAAGTGTGGACATCTGACCATCACATCTACATGAGCTTGCACATTCCAAACCATGGTCAATAATATGGAATTGGCACCCACTTTGCCGTTTTAATAGCCTCCACTCTTCTGGGAAGGGTTTCCATAAGGTTTTGTGTCTGTGGGAATTTGTGCCCATTCAGCCAAAAAAATAGCAATTTGTGAGTTCAGGTACTGATACTGGATGAAAAGACCTGTCTCAAAATCAGCATTCTAATTCATCTCAAAAGCAGGCTTCCATCTAGCCACTCTGCCATAAAGTCCATATTGGTGGAGGGCTACAGTGATGGTTGTCCTTCTGGTACTTTGTCCCATCTCCACACAGGATCTCTGGAGCTCAGTCTGAGTAACCATTGGGTTCTTGTTAACCTCTTTTATTAAAGCCCTTTTCCCCAACTGCTCAATTTGGCACCCAGCTCCTGGAAGAGTCCTGGTTGTGCCAAACGTCTTCCATTTGAGAAAGATGGAGGCCACTGTGCTCTTGGGAAACTTGAGTGCAGCAGCAGTGCTGACAATATTCGCAAGTAAAATCCGACAGGCTGGCTGTACCCATGTTAATTGATTGATCAACTTGGGTACATTCAGCCTGCTCATACATTGTTTGAATCTTGGTTGGTTCCTGCTGAACTGGCCAAAATTTGTCTATTGCCAGCTTTATCTCA